ATATATAGTATATTATATATATTATATATATATATATATAATATATATATATATATAATATATATATATATATATATATATATATATATATATATATATAAAATTGCATAAATAACTTTAACTTGATATACGACATATAAGAAATAAATACATTCTAGTTAAGAAACTTTAGAAATCTTTAAGGGTCAACATGACTGTTCGTGTTTTATTCCTTCGCTCTCCGAAGATCTCATTCTTGGACGTGACAATTATCTGTTCGATAAATCTTATCAATCTTTTCGATTTTATATGAAATATCGATCTTCGACCTTTCTTAGAATTTTCCTTTTTTTTTTTATCATTTTTTTAAATAGAGCTTTGATACACAAAACTTGTTCTTGAACCTTTTACGCTTGCAAAGATTTTGACCAAATTATTAAACAACATAAGAATTTAAAACTGGAAGCCCAAACATGTTGACGCAGACGTGTTGTTTAAAATTCGATAAGTTAAAGAGACACTTTTTATTCTAAATTCTTCTAGAAAAAAAACCTTCTTTTCCTGTCCATCCTTCTTTTTTCTGTCTCTTCTTGATTTAACGATAAAGCACAGCTTTGAAGAACAGAATGGAGATGCATCAAGATCTTGTGCAACTTTATGAAGTAAAGCGGCGTCTCTCGTATCTCGTGTGTCCTACATATGCGCTTGTACATATATACATAGGTAGAACGAGGAAAACTAGCCGCCGCTTTTTTGAGGAGCCGCGTGTCTCCTATGGCGAACTGTACAATCATGCGAGGGGTGGCTTCATTCCTGATATAGAGGAGAGATAATGCCCCGCATATTAGACCCCTATGACTAGCCTTTCCGATCATGTTATGCTCAATAAGCCTGCACATATTCATGCTCGCTAATTATATATATATATATATATATATATATATATATATATATATATATATATATATATATATATATATATATATATATATATATATATATATATATATATATATTACATGTAATATATATATATATATATTACATATATATATATATTACATATGTATATATACATATATTACATACGTATGTAAAAAAAATCACACACGCATATGGTAATTATATGTGTGTAAATATATATATATGAATGTGTGCGCATATAAACTCGAGAGGTGAAATGGCGATTTGCATCATTAAAATATCGCTGTAGTTTTTAGAACTATAATATATATTCAAGATGCGAGAGAGAAAGAGAACTGGGAAGATAGAGAGAATTCGCAGAAATGGAACTTTAACGCTAAGTTATTTTTTTTGTTGTTTTTTACAAACTGGTTCCTCTTCCTATTTCCTGCTTGAAATCGGGAGGGGCCTACAGCGTGCTGCCGAGCCCCAAAATCACGAAACAAAGAGATGAGTTCTCTGTTGCAAGTTTCGCGTATAGATAAATTGTATATTCAGATAATTGCACAGGGCAAATTATATAGGGTATACATATATATATATATATACAAGCCGTTAGTGTCTTTAAAGTATCTGATTGGGATATAAGCGCGAGATCTCTCTGCACAGAGCGAGGAAAGATGTTCGATGAAGATGATTATGATGCAACTGCTTCTGCGGAATGTGAGACGTTATATATCATCCATTAATCTCGATTGCAGATGTTATCTCGGAGATACGTTGCAAAAAATTAATCGAATCTCTAAAGAAAAAGATTGAAATTTATACATCTCTAATATCATGAAAACTAATAGTAACATAATCTTAAAATTTTTACAAGCCCAATTTTTTTAATGATATTTTTCGATTCTTGAATCTTTAAATTCAGAAAAAAAAATTAATTCTAATGTCTCAATCGAAAAAGGGTTTAATTAAAAAAGATTCAACATAAATATAGAAATAATATATAACTATTTGTAATTGTGTATATTTATAATTGTGAATATTTATAATTAAGAAACCATTATTAAATGAAGAATGAGAAAAATTTTCCCAGATTCGTATGTATTTCCGCAGAAGTAAGCCTAAATTATTTTGTATGAAAGAGACTCGCTATGAAAATCCTTTTACAAAATGCATGATAGAAAATCCGCATGATATAAATTTAATTACATGTTGGATTTTATATTGAGCTTATGAGCTTAAAATATTTTATCATTCAATTAATAAATTCGATATCGCGCAGTTTCATATTAAAACAATGATTCTCACTCGCAGCTTGTAAAAAAATACAGGATGATCGTTGCTCCTCGCTGCAAAGAAAACGGGATGAATTAAAGGGAATTCAGCTGCAGGAATTTTGAGCGATTCTTTAAATTAGCAATTTAAAATTAGATTTCTCGATACGAATTTTCCGAATGTGATATTTCCTTTAATTCATCCCGTCTTTCATAAGACAAAAGTATTTAGGAGAGATTAACAGATACCGTAAAAGATTTTACATGATTTAGCGATATAAAGGCCTCTCTCGGGGATTCTCTCCGTAATCTTCAATGGCAACTTGTTTTTTTCTTTATAGTTTTCCTCTCTGCCACTCTATGCACTTTTTATGCGATAATAACATCGTAGGCCATTTTTCATATTTCGTTCTCATGAGGTACGATTGCACACGTTCTTTACATCTTAATTATAAATAATTAAGAGTCCGTTTTTATAACAACGGCCTCGGTCAACTAACACAGCAATTTTCTGTTCCTTTTCAGATCATGACAGATGAAGATAATTTCGAAAAATTTTTATATAAAGTATCTTGGCGATTAATTCTCGGATATATATATATATATATATATATATATATATATATATATATATATATATATATATTATTATTATAT